TGAAGGGTCCCAGGTTTGATTCCGGCCAAGGGCATGTACCTTGGTTGCAGGCACATCTCCAGGAGGGGGTGTGCAGGAGGCAGCTGATTGATACTTCTCTCTCATTGATGTTTCTAACTCTCTATCCCTTTCCCTTCCTCTCTGTCAATAAATATATATATATATTTAAAAAAAAAAAGAAAAGACAGAGGCACGGTCATTCCGTAGATGCCGTTGGACACACTGCTGTGGGCAGAGTGCCCCATTGCCATCTCCTTCCACCTTTCCCTTCGCGAGGGGGCGGTGGCCACCTGCAGCCTGTCCCCAGGTTGGCTGAGTGGCCCCTGCGGGAAGCGATCATGTCCTCAGTGGCCGAGCCCCCGCCAAGGAAGCCGGGACGGCTGCCCAGGGCCGGGCCTGTGTTCACGGCATCCCGGTGAAGAAGCCCTGGTCAAACCAGGCTTTGGGAAGGACACGCATCAGGGCTCTCCCCTGGTCTTCCTCCCATCACGCCTACCTCCTCGCTATTTCTCGCGTCTTTCCCTCTCTCACACTTGGCCAGGCCTTTGTGGAGGCCAGAGGTCATGCCCTGGGACTCAGCATTCCGAGTTTCATCCTAGTTTCTGATCTTATTTCTGGACACACGTGGAGGAAATTGACAGATGGTGGCCTGGGTGCCCTTGTGGGGAGCAGATATGAGTCTCATAGAGCAGGAGGCCGGTGTAGGGGGTTCATTAGAATTCAGATCCGGCGTCTAACAGGGAAATGGCTCTGGGGCATGTCCTCTTGGCAGGTTTGGACAGCAAGCTCTTTGCTGTCTTTCACCTAGGAGAGCTGGAGTCATCCTATGGCAAGACCCAGATTAAAGCAACCTGTCGAGTGAGGGCATTGTGAAACATGAAACCTAGTGTTCACTCACCCCTGACCAGGGAGGCTCAGTTGGTTGGAGCATCCGGGCCCATGCACCAGAGGGTTGTGGGTTCATTTCCTGGTCAGGGCACAACGCCCAGATTGCAGGGTTGATCCCAAGGGGAGCACGTTCAGGAGGCAACGGTGTTTCTCTCATTGGTGAAAAAATTGTCTGGCTCCTCTTCCTACTTAAAAAAAAAAAAGTTTCAGGTATACAGCATCATGATCCAATATCCGTATGCACTACAAAGTGATCACCCCAAAGTCTGATTACTACCCATCACCATGCAGGTAACTCCCTTTAGCCCACTGCACCACCTCCCCCTTCCCTCTGGGAACCACCAATCTGTTCTCTGTATCTATGAGTTTGTTGTGTTTATTTTTTTATTTTACTTTATTTTTTATACTAGAAGCCCGTTGCACGAAGATTCGCGCAATAGGCCTTCCTTCCCCTGGCTGCTGACATCGGTTTTCCTCCGGCAGCTGGGACCCAGGCCTTTGGTCCGGCCGCAGTGGAGAAGCCAAGCCTTGAGGCTAGGCTCTTCCCCTCTGGCCACAGCGAGGCTCGGCTTTTCTGCTGCAACTGCAGTCTTCAGTCTTCACTCTGGCCGGAGCCTTTAGTCTTGGCTCCACGCCTGCGTATGCAAATTAACACATTGTTTGCGGGTAGTTTTTATCGCGCGCTAACAGGTGGCACGGGCCATTTTTGCTAATTTTTTGCGCAAATGGCAACGTTCAGTAAAATTACGATAACTTTAGTTTACGTATTTATATGTTACCTGCATTCTACCGCTAGTCTACAAAAAACATATTAATATGTGTCCCGCACTCTACTACCAGTCAACATAAAACGTATAAATACGTTTCCCGCATACAATGTGTTAAGGAAAAAGCATTCCAGAGAAACATAATATAATGGTCTAAGACAAAAACATGCCTGGCATGTAGCAGAAACAACAAGACCAGTGTGGAGCATAGGATAATAGGAACTGGGGTTGGAAGGGGGTTGCACAGTATAAGCCCAGAAAGCCACTGGCTTTTACTCTTGAGTGAAATGAGAAGCCATCAGAGAAGCGACATGCTCTTACTTGTGTTTTAAAAAGGATCACTCTGCCTGCTGTGTTGAGGACAGACAGCAGGAAAGCAAGGGGGAAGTGTCTGGGAAATAATAGATTCCTAAGAAATTGATATCAGCCCCTTTTCCTACCTTGATAGCTAGACTGGTCATACTCTAACTTATCTCCCTAATGCTTCTTTGATGCAAAATAATGGATTGATTTTGTCCTCCTTTTTTTAAGCTTTAAATTCCAGATTCCAGCTCGCCCCCTTCTGGGGATCAAGCTCACAACCCAGGCATGTGCCCTTGACTGGAATCGAACCCAGGACCCTTCAGCCCGCAAGTCAATGCTCTATCCACTGAGCCAAACCAGCCAGGGCTGTTTTGTTTATTTTTTTTATTTTTTTGTTGTTTTCTTGTTTTTTTAGATTCCACATATAAATGAAATCATATGGTACTTTTGTTTCTCTTACTGACTTGTTTCATTTAACATTATACTCAAGGTCCTTTCATGTTTTTTCAAATGGCAAAATGTCATTTTTTAACTGATTAGTCTTCTATTATATATATATATGTATATTTATATCATATATAACTTTTTTTTCATATATAACTTTTTTATTTCACAGAGGAAGGTAGAGGGAGAGAATAGAAACATCATTGATGAAAGAGAATCACTGATCAGCTGCCTCCTGCATGCCCCCCACTAGAGATGGAGCCCACAACCCAGGCATGTGCCCTTGACTGGAGTCAAACCTGGGACCTTTCAGTCTGCAGGCCAACGCTCTAGCCACTGAGCCAAACCGGCTAGTACTTCTATTACATTTTTTTTTTTTACCACATCTTATTTATCCATTCATCCACAGATGTGCACTTGGGTCACACAGTATCAGTACCACTACGTTCTGTTTGATAGGAGTGAATCACTGAATCTGGCCCACATTCACGGGGAAGAGAAATTAGGATTTATCTTTTGAAGGGAAGAGTATTAAAGAATTAGTGGACATAATTGGAAGCCACTAAGGTAAGGATGGGTGAGGACCTGGCCTGGGAGAAGCCTCAGACAGAGAGGGGGAAATAATATAGGATTTGGAAGCATCTTGAAGGACTACTCCAACAGACTTGGGACTCATGTGGTAAGAGCAAGAAGAGCAACAGGAAGCCCTGGCCGGTTTGGCTCAGTGGATAGAGCGTCGGCCTGCGGACTGAAGGGTCCCGGGTTCAATTCCAGTCAATGATACCTGCCTGGGTTGTGGGCTCAATCCCCAGTAGGGGCTGTGCAGGAGGCAGCCGATCAATGATTCTCTCTCATCATGGATGTTTCTATCCCTCTTCCCCTCTCCTTTCCTCTTTGAAATCAATAAAAATTTATTATAAAAAAAAAAAGAAAAGAAGAAGAGCAACAAGAAGTATCTGAGGTAATGCTAGGGTTTTAAGTCCTGAGAAAGAGGGTAGTTAGGCGGCTCTGGCACAAATGGGACGTTCATCAGGAGGGTGGATTCTGGAGGTGATTTGAGTAGGAGAGCTTCTCCAGGCAAATGGAAACGTGGCCCTAAAGGTGGGAGAGCAAGTCTGGAAACCACAGTGACATCATCACTGAGCAGAAGCTGAAGCCCTGGGATCTGAGCTTTCTTTTCTTTTCTTTTGGAATCTGAGTTTTCTGAAAGGAATTGTGGGCCGGATGAGGAGGGTGCTAAGCCTTGGAGAATGCCTGGAGTGGAAACGGAGACAGAGGAGGCAGTACTGAGACGGGGTGGAAAGAGAGAGAACAGCCAAAACCGGTTTGGCTCAGTGGATAGAGCGTCGGCCTGCGGACTGAAAGGTCCCGGGTTCGATTCCGGTCAGGGGCATGTACCTGGGTTGCGGGCACATCCCCAGTAGGAGGTGGGCAGGAGGCAGCTGATCGATGTATCTCTCTCATCGCTGTTTCTCACTCTCTCTCTCCCTTACTCTCTGTAAAAAAAAAAAAAAACAAAAAAATATATTTAAAAAGAAAGAAAGAAAGAGAACAGTTGAGCATTGGGTACACCACAAGGTCAAGCAGAATGAGGACCGCCCTAGCCGGTGTTGCTCAGTGAATAGCGCATTGGCCTGCGGACTGAAGGGTCCCAGGTTCAATTCCGGTCAAGGGCACATGCCTAGGTTTCGGGCTCGATCCCTGGTGGTGGTGGTGGGGAGGTGCGTGCAGGATACAGCCAAACAATGATTTTTCTCACATCATTGATGTTTCTGTCTGTCTCTCTCTCTCTCTCCCTTCCTCTCTGAAATCAATAAAGTATATATAAAAAAAGGGAGGGTGAGAACCAAGAAAAACGAGGTTAAATCCACCTCCCTCCAAAATGCCCTTGTTGAGCACCTTATCCAACTATGTACTAACATGCCACTCCATGTTGGAGTGGGTGGTGGCTAGAGCTTAGCTTTGCATCAGCTAGTTCCTGGCATGTCACTTGATCTCACTAAAGCTGGGTCGTTGTGGGATACATTAGGTAAGAAGTAAATGGAGACTCAGAGGAACTGTCCCTCTAAAAGCATGCTACTGATGACTGGTCAGGACAGGGTTTGAATAAACTGGAGGGAAGACAAGTCTGAATGCAACAGGTTGAATGAGGCAGTTCTGTTCTGGGAAATGACTGTATTTGAACTTCTGATTTCAGGTCCGACTGCAGACGCAGCCCCCGAGTTTGCCTGGACAGCCTCCCATGTATTCTGGGACCTTTGACTGTTTCCGGAAGACTCTTATGAGAGAGGTATTGTTTGTTGGTGCTGGGCAGTCCTACCTGGAGGAACACATTCACAGGGTGGGCTTGTGACCCCCGGGGTAGGTTTACTTTGTGCAGTTCTGCTGGAGGTCTAGCCCACAGTGGTGCCCCTCTTACCATGCCATCCTATGCCCTCCTATTGGCATCGCTCTGGAGTCTTTGCTAGTTCCGGTTCCAGTTTTATGTGGATGACTAAAGCATAATTGGAAGGCAGAATTTGGAGCATAGGAAATTAATGAGGAGTAATTGAAGTGGGAGAAAATTCTGCCGCGCCAGCACGGCCGTGGGTGAACCTGGGGGGTCGGGGGGGCGGCGGTGAAGGATTAAAGAAGACAGACAAGAGAATAAAGCTGGGGCTGGGTGGACGCTGCCCTCATTAGAGAGACAGCGCCACAGCCTGCAAGCCGAGTCTATTTTATAGCCAGGTTCCACGAAGCAAAGTAAGGGCGTGGTCAAGATGTTTACTGCGTTCTCAAGGGTTTCGAATCTTACTCAGTTACATGCACCTGAACTCTATCAAGCCCACATCACTCAGCTTCCTGGGACCACAAGTTCATACCATAAGGTCAACCTTACAACCGTAGCCTTCGGCTATAACTGTGCTGCGACTTGCACGTGGCTTTGCCAGGAGAGGACCGTGCCCTCTCATTAGTCCAAAGCTTGAACCTGTCCAAACGCTGTAGCCGCTCTCCACAGAAAATACAAATCTGGATCAGTCAGTTTGATGGAGAATCGGTGGCAGACGTTTAGGTAAAGCCTGGAGGAAAAGTCAGAGTCTGAGGAACAGTGAGAGAGGCCGGCCGTCTTCACCCCCCAAGGCCGACAAGTACACTAATTGGTTTGGGGTTACCGGGTTACATAATTTTCCAGATATTGCTTAGAGTGAAAACATGGAATTTTTTAAAAGCTTTATTTTTTTAATTATTTTTTAAATATTTCACTTTTGCCCTAGCCGGTTCGGCTCAGTGGATAGAGCGTCAGCCTGTGGACTGAAGGGTCCTGGGTTTGATTCAGGCCAAGGACACATGCCCAGGTTGAGGGCTTAGTTGCCAGTGGGGAGACCGGAGAGCGAGCAAGAGGCAGCCAATCAATGATTCTCTCTCATCATTGATGTTTCTATCTCTCTTCCTTTCCCTTCCTCTCTGATATCAATAAAAATAATATTTTTAGAAATTTCACTTTTTAAAAATCTTGGTTGTTGAGAGTATTTAAAAAGTTTTAATTACTAGTGACATTTATACTCACTTCATTAGCACACGTTTAAAAAGAACTTGTTGCCGAAACCGGTTTGGCTCAGTGGATAGAGCGTCGGCCTGCGGACTGAAAGGTCCCAGGTTCGATTCCGGTCAAGGGCATGTACCTGGGTTGCGGGCACATCCCCAATAGATGTGCAAGAGGCAGCTGATCGATGTTTCTCTCTCATCGATGTTTCTAACTCCCTATCTCTCTAAAAAAAATAAAAATAAAATAAAATAAAATAAAAAGAACTTGTTGAAAATTTTTCCTTTGCTTCCTAAAATATAACTCTCATATGAATAAATGCCCTATTAAATATGTAGAAACTGAGAAGCAGGTGTCACTCAGATGAAGAGGGGATTCCACTGGTTAGTGGAGACTCAGCCTTGGGGAGAAGTCGTCCGGGCTCCTGCAGGACGGGGATGGGAGGGAGATTTTGCTCCGAGTCCCCTGCCCTGTGGAAGGAAGAGAGGCAAGTTTACCTGCCCCCTGGGCAACAACGGTATTGAACCGCTGTTTAGTGCTGGCCATGTGCTGGTGGCCGGGGGCCTGGTGAGAATGGCTTGTGTAAACCCCATTCCCTGCAGGGTTAACTAGACTCCCTGACTCCATCTTGGCGTGCGTCCCTGGTTTTCGTTGTACCAGACGTGGCTCTGCTTCCCCGAGCTGCCAGGTGGAGAGAGGTCTTGTTGTGCTGCCTGGGTCTGGGTGGGCCAGCATGGTGGAAGGAAGGCTGGAGCTGTCAGGGGGCTGGGTGTGGCCCCTCAGGACCCGAGCATCCTGCCCAGCCAGGTGGGAGCCCCGAGAGGGGCTTTGGAAGGACTTTGTCCCCGTGGCTTTGTAGCTCCTCCTCCGTTCACCCTTTCCTGTTTCCTGCCTCCAGTGTCTGCTTCCAGCCTGTAGTAGCCTTTGACCTTTGCAGGAGCCAAGTGGGCCGACTGGTGCAGTTGTGCCCCTTTAGTTGTGGACCCCCCCGCAGCACCCCTCTCTGTTACTGCTGCCCTCCATAAGGAGCAACTGCTACATTCCTTGTGTTTGTTTTAAAAATTATTTTGTATGAAAGTGACACAAGCACTTAGTTGTTACCGAAAGGCTTGTAACAAAGCAGCAAAGCGCTGTGCAGCTGTTTCTGTGGAGCTGCACAACACACACTCCTGCTCCGGTTCACACATTCTCATGTGTCTCCCTGTTTGTGGAAGATGATTCTGACTCTTACATTACCTCTCCCCGCGAACTTTGTGATCTAATCCAGTTCACTGTTTCTGATTGCAACTATATATACACATACGCTGCTTTCTTCCGTTCATTGAGTGACGTGCATCCATTTATTGTGCAACTCTGTTTTTCCTGAGGTTGGGGTGATCATTATGTCCGTTTTCAGTCGCTTGTGTTTCTATCCGTGGCTGTCTCCGCCACCCTGTACCCTAAATTACCCTAAATGCTCCCGGGTGCCGCCCGGTTCCCACACGCGGGCAGTGGGCGTGCTGTTCCCGTGTGTGTGGTTCTGCAGGTCTCCTTGGGAACAGCCTCTGGCGCCCCCTTCGTGCACCCCCCTGTGGATAGGCTTCCTCTCAGGAAGGCCCCCCGCGCTCGGGCTGACCGCTGCTCTCCCAGGTCCGGACCGTCCCTTCCCTGGTTCACTGCCCTCGTTTGGTCGGGATGTCTGTCTCTGTGTCCTACTGTCTGCCTAAAGCTGCCACCTCATTGCTTTCATACCAAACTATGCTGGTGAAAACGGATGTGCGGTCCTACTATTGTTTTTAACAACGAAAATCCCATGTCTTCACACTTGGAAAGTACAAAATTTCTTCATCACCTGTAATCTTACAAAAAGGAAGTCACATCACATTGTACTTCCTGTTTTATAGCTTTGTTTTCACTTGATGGTCTCTTCATGTTGCCATGTGATTTCATGAGTGTGTGGTAGTCTGTTTATGGAATTTCTACACTTTGTCTCATTTATCTCCTATTTGGGAGCTTTTAGATTCATTCCAAAATGTTGGTACCTTATAAGTGCCTGATGGTATTATTATTATTTTACATCTTTGAGTATTTCCTTAGCATACATTTCTGGACAGAATTTCCTGGTAAAAGGTATGATACTGCCAGATTTTCTTCCAGAATGGACACTGTTTTCCATTTTCTCCAACAGTACATTAAGTACAATTATTTCTCTCTTTTAAAAATACTTTTTATTGATTTTGAGAGAGAGGAAAGGAGAGGGAGAGAGAGAGCGAGAGAGAAGCATTGATGTGGGAGGGACTTTTGTATTTGTTTTTAAAGTCATGCCTTCCCCGTGCTCCCTATCGGGGATCGAGCCTGCAGCTTGAGCATGTGCCCTGACTGGGAATCCCCCCAGAGCCCTTTTGGTGCTTGGAACGACGGCCAACCGCATCCCACTGGCCACGGCTAAGAGGACAACTATTTCTGATTAATGTGGGCTTTTCTTCCTTTTTTTAAAAAATATATTTCATTGATTTTTTACAGAGAAGAAGGGAGAGAGATAGTTAGAAACATCTTTTTTTAAAAAAAATATATTTTATTGATTTTTTTACAGAGAGGAAGGGAGAGAGATAGAGAGCCAGAAACATCGATGAGAGAGAAACATCGATCAGCTGCCTCCTGCACACCTCCCACTGGGGACGTGCCCGCGACCCAGGTACATGCCCCTGACCGGAATCGAACCCGGGCCCCCCCAGTCCGCAGGCCGATGCTCTATCCACTGAGCCAAACCAGTTTCGGCGAGCTTTTCTTCCTTTTAAAACCTCTCCTTGCTTAGCGGAGAGGTGAGGAAGGAGGCCTCGGTGTGAAGGGCGGGGTGTCTACAAACAGCTTCTGCTTCCTTGCAGGGCGTCAGGGGGCTGTATCGAGGCATGGCCGCCCCCATCATCGGGGTCACCCCCATGTTCGCCGTGTGCTTCTTTGGGTTTGGTTTGGGGAAGAAACTGCAACAGAAACACCCAGAAGACGTGCTCAGGTGAGTGCTCTCGGGCCTGGAGCCCCAGATGGGCTGCCGTGGTGACCGGGTTCAAGGAGAGAACCGTGGCTGGCAGGGGTGGCTGCCCACCTGGGCCCTGGAAGTGCCGCACGCGGGAGCCGCTTACACTTCCTCTGCCCTGCGAACCGAAAGGGAAAAGCATCCCCCCTTCCTCGCCAGGTTGTCCAGTTCCTTCTGTAAAGTCGTGTTGCTCTCACCCGTCACCGGGGACAGTACTGATACCGGGCGGGCGGGCGCTGTGAGGTCTGCTCGCTCCCGTGGGGCCGGGCCCAGCCCTGTGGGAGCTCAGTAATGACAGCGGCAGCCTTGCTTCCCGTCACCCGGTTGGGGAAGGGAGTTTCCCATTTTTCTTTTACTCCATTTTTATAACACAGTTATAATGGCGTCTGATGTTAGTTTCTCTGATAACATGAGATGAGTTGCTGTTTTTCTCTTCAGTAAACGTTAAGAAGTCGGATTTGGGGATGCAGGGGCAGATGAGTCAGCGTTACAGCTCATGACACAAGTAGCTCCTGAAAACAGGCTTCTCACGGCTGTTCCGGGGCCACGCACCCGACCCCAGTGGGGTCGCTGCCAGTACTTTGGTCTGTGGATTGTGTTCCCCTTAGAGCAGTGGTTCTCCACCTTCTGGCCCTTTAAATTCAGTTCCTCATGCTGTGACCCAGCCATAACATGATTTTCGTGGCTACTTCATAGCTGTCATGTTGCTGCTGTTATGAATCGTCATGTAAATATCTGACATGCAGGATGGTCTTAGGCGACCCCTGTGAAAGGGTCGTTCGACCGCCAAAGGGGCCGCGACCCACAGGTTGAGAACCGCTGCCTTAGATCCTGTCAGCATCAGGGACACTGTCCTGCGTATGTGGAGGCTCACACACTCAGGACCCCCCCCCCCCCCCCCCCGCCGTGTCCCCTCCCTGCAGTGAGCAGCCTCTGAGGGTCGAGTGGAAAGGAGCAGCGCCAGGGCCTTGGGGTAGACGCCCAGGAAGGGCCAGCTCTCACAGACGCCCCCCAGGTGGCAGAAGCTGGAGGCAGGCAGAGTGTCTACTTGGTGCCCTGTGCACACAGCCACCCATTCCCAGGAAAGTCCCGTTCCAGGAGGTGGGGGTGAGCCCGGCCTAGGGTCCGGGCGTCCTGGGAGAATGGCGCGCGGCCACATAAGGGGACGTGTATTTGCGGAGAGGTCTCCCCAGGGGACAGTGTGAACGGGACGTGAAGGACACCGTGGGTACGTCTCTTGGCTGTTGAGCCGTCAGCCTTGGTGCGGGGCTTGCCCGGCCCGGCCGATGCGTGGCCCTGCCTGGGCGAGCGTGTGGACAGACCGGGCTGTTGAGACGGTTCCTCAGGGCTCGGCTCCCCTTTGGGTGGAACTGGCCTGAGGCTCATGCGGCAGAGGCTTGGGGTTAGGTGCGGCCTGAGGCGTAAGCGAGTAAGTCAAGTTCTTCAGCAACATTTGCTAAATTGGGGGGACTCCGTTGAGCTGTTCACTGTAGCTGTAAGTCCCGTTCCCTCTAGACCAGCCTGGTGTTGCTCATCCCAGAAGGCAAGATGCCAGACAGGGCGTGACGGCTGTGGGCTCAGATGCTAGGACTCCTCCAAACATTGTGTGCGGCTCATCCTCTGGGGCCAGGGTGAGGAGCCATATCGCTGGCCACTGGGGCCTGTTCCCTGCACAGAGGCCACAGGACCACCATGCCTGTCTAGGGCCCACCCCTGCCTGACCCTCTCAGTCTCTCAGAGCTCACTCCTTAGGACTGACCAGGCTGCCCCTCGGCCCGTGGAGGTGGCCGCAGCTGCCCTCCAGGCCCTTGTGCTCCAGAGGCGGTGAGATGGGAGGGGATCTGGGACCGACTGAGACCCAGTCCTGATTAGTGGCTCCTCCTCACCCCCAGCAACCCTGAGATTTATGGACGGGAAAGCAGGGCCCAGAGAGCTGGGGAGTTGTCCATAGTCACTGTGCGTGGCAGGCCCCGGGGCGGAAACCGTATCTTGCCATAGAGTTTCTCTCCCTGCCGGTGAGGCCACTGCACGTACAGGTGGGCGTCGCGTGGCTCTTGACACTGAGGCTCCTGCCCTGGGAGGTTTGACATCAGAATACACCTGGAACTTGGCTTTTGTGCAAAATATGATTTATCTGTGCTGGGCTTTCTGCCCAGTCCAAGGACTTATTTTTTCTTACAAAGTCATCCTCTGCTGGGATTGCCTCTGTCCTGGGCAGGTAGTCACAGGTACTTGTCTCTGTTTTGTTTTCAATACAGCTACCCCCAGCTGTTTGCAGCTGGGATGCTATCTGGTGTATTCACCACGGGAATCATGACCCCTGGAGAACGGATCAAGTGCTTGTTACAGGTAAGACTGTGATCTGGGTGGGGAGAGGTGGCTAGCTTTTCTACTCAGATACAATATGTGGATGTTTATGTCCTTTTACCTTTTTTTTAAATTGATTTCAGAGAGGAAGGGAGAGGGAGAGAGAGGTAGAAACATCAATAATGAGAGAGAGTCATTGATCGGCTGCCTCCTGCACGCCCCCCACTGGGGATCGAGCCCGCAACCCGGGCCTGTACCCTTGACCGGAATCAAACTGAGGACCCTTCAGTCCGCAGACTGACGCTCTATCTGCTGAGCCAAACCAGGCAGGTTCCCTTCACCTTTTTCTTTTTATTGGTTTTTATTTTTATTAGTTTCAGAGAGGAAGGGAGAGAGAGAGAGAGAGAGAGAAACATCAATGATGAGAGAGAATCATCGATCGGCCACCTCCTGCACGGCCCCACTGGGGATCGAGCCCGCAACCCAGGCATGTGCCCTTGACCAGAATTGAACCCAGGACCCTTCAGTCCGCAGGCCGACACTCTATCCACTGAGCCAAACCAGCCAGGGCTAATACACAATTCTTGCTGGGAAATTTTCATAATGCAGAGAAGCACAAAGGAAAAAAACACGTATTTATCACCCATGATACTATCCCACTGAGGTAACCATGGTTACGCTTCTGTGTGAATTTAGTCTTTTTGATAAACATCTATATTAAGAAATGTTATCTTTTGAAATAAAATTGGGATCACCTACTACAGTTGTTTTATAACTAACTTTTCCCCCTTGATATACCATATTATTTTTCTGTGATTATTTTTCTCAAGCATAATTTTCTGCAACTGATTTCATTACATATATGGCTGCCATTGCAATATGGCTGTCAATAATCCCTTACCTAGGGGTGTGACAGATTACATGCCACAGCGAAGATCTCTGTAAGTAAGATTCTACACATGCACCTGATTGTTTTGATGAATATTAGTTGCTTGTATTTTTCCTTTGGGAAGAACCTATTTGTGTTCCTTGCTCTTTTTTTTTTCTTTTTTCTAAATTGATTTATAAAAGCTTTGGACAGATTAAAGTTATTTTTTTTTCCTTTGGGATTAAGATTATTAATCACTTATGTGGCAAGTTCTTTTTCCTGGTTTACATCTGTCATCCCATTTCGTATATTTTTTAACTTAGGCTTTTTATTTTGAGATAATATAATAGACTCACGTGCAGTTGTGAGAAATAATACCAAGAAAAAACAAGGAAAGAAATAAACATAGAGATCCCGTGTGCCCTTTACCTGGCTTTCTCACAATGGTAACATCTTAAAACTATGGCACATCACAACCAGGGCATTGACATTGGTACAGTCACAACACAGAACGTTCCCAGCCTGCCACAGGCCTCTTATAACCATATCCACTCCTCCCCCTCCAGTCCTTAACCGCTCCAGCAACCATTAATCTGTACTCTCGTTCTATAATTCTGAAACTTCAAGAATGTTATGTAAATGGAATCTTATAGTATGTGAACTTTTTTTTCTTTTTAAATATATTTTATTGACTTTAGAGAAGAAGGGAGAAGGAGAGAGAGACGGAAACATCAATGATGAGAGAGAACTGCTGATTGGCTGCCTCCTGCTTCCCCTACTGGGCATTGAGTCTGCAACCCAGGCATGTGTCCCAACTGGAATGGACTTCCTGGTTCATAGGTCAATGCTCAACCACTGAGCCAAACCAGCTGAGCCCATATTGGCTTTTTAAACTCAGCATACTTTTCTGGGGATTCATTCCTATTGTTGATGTATGAATAATTCATTCCTGTTAAGGAGTTCATGGTGTGGATGAGCCACAATGTGTTTAACTTTTTATCCATTGAAGGACATCTGGTTGTTTCCAGTTTGGGGCTATTATGAATAAAGATGTTATAAACATTTATATAGAGATTTTTCTGAGAAAATAAATCTTCATTTCTCTGGGATAAATGCCCAGTAGTACAGTTACTGAATCATATGGTAGTTGCATGTTTAGTTTTTTAAAGAAACTACCAAACAGTTTTGGGGTTGGACCATTTTTTCCCACCAGCAGTGTGTGAGTGATCCAGTTTCTCTGCATCCTCACCAGCATCTGGTGTTTTCACTATTTTAATTTTAGCCGTTCTGACACACTTGTGTAGTGATAGCTCTTGTTAATTTGTATTTCCCTAGTAGCTGAAGATGTTGAACTCTTTTTATGTGCTCTTTGCTCTCTGTATATCCTATTTGGTGAAATGTCTGTTCATATATTTTGCCCATTTTCTAATTGGATTATTTTTATATTATTGAATTTTGACAGTCCTTTATTCTAGATGATAGTGCTTTGTTAGATGTGTGGTTTACAAATATTTTCTCCCAGCCTATAGTTTCTTTGTTATTTTTAGAAAAATTCACATCCTTCTTTTTTCCCCAGTGTTTTTTATTTCAAGAAAAACGATTTTAAATATAATAATGTACATGCAATAAACCTTAATATTTCAAGAAAAACGATCTTAAATATAATAATGTTACATGCAATAAACATTAATATTTCAAGAATAAAAGGATTTTAAGTATAAAGTTGTCTTTTGCTTTGAGGTGGATCTCTTGTAGACAGCATATAGTTGGGTCATGTTTTTGTATCCGTTCATCTACCCTACGCCTTTTGATTGGAGCATTTAATCCATGTACATTTAGAGTTATTATTGAGAGGTACTTATTTACAGCCATTTTAATTCCGCATGGCTAGGTTTCTCTCTGTTTCTTCTTCTCAACAACCCCTTCCAGCAGTCCCTTTAGCATTCCCTGTAATGCTGGCTTGGTGGTGATGAACTCCTTTAGCCCCTTTTTTGTCTGGGAAGCTCTTTATTTGACCGTCTATTGTGAATGATAGTCTTGCTGGATATAGTAATCTTGGTCTCAGATCCTTGCTTTCCATTACCTTGAGTACTTCGTGCCATTCCCTCTGGCCTGTACAGTTTCTGATGAGAAATCAGGTGTCAGCCTTATGGGAGCTCCTTTATAGGTAACAGTTTTCTCTTGCTGCCTTTAAGATTCCCCCTTTGTTTTTAATTTTTGGCATTTTCATTATGATGTGTCTGGGTGTGGATCTGGGTTCTTCTTGTTTGGGGTTCTCTGTGCCTCCTGAATTTGTGTGACTTTTTCCTTTACCAGGTTAGGGAAGTTTTCTACCATTATATCTCCTAACACCTTCTCTATTCCTTTCTCTTTTTCTGCCTCCTCTGCACCTGCTATTCTAATATTGTTATGTTTCACATTGTCCCACAGCTCCCTTAAGCTGTCCTCCTGTTTTTGTTTTGTTTTTTAATATATTTTATTGATTTTTTTACAGAGAGGAAGGGAGAGGGATAGAGAGTTAGAAACATCAATGAGAGAGAAACATCGGTCAGCCGCCTCCTACACACCCCCTACTAGGGATGTGCCGCAACCGAGGTACATGCCCTTGACCAGAATTGAACCGAGGACCCTTCAGTCCGCAAGCCAACGCTCTTTCTACTGAGCCAAACCGGCTAGGGCTGTCCTCCTGTTTTTTAATTGTTTTTTCTTTTTGGTTCTCTAATTGAGTGATATTTTCAACTCAGTCTTCTAATTCTCTGATTTGATCCTCAGCTTCCCCTAATCTGCTGTGTATTCCTTCCAATGTGTTCTTTATTTCTGTTATGTCATTCTTTATCTCAGACTGTTCTTTTTTCATAGTTACTATATCTTTTCATACTGTTGAGCATTTTTAACATCATTACTCTGAACTCTGTTTCAGATAAATTTCTTATCTCTGCTGGGAAGCCCAGCTTCGGGATTAGATCCCAGAGTTCTCAGTGGCACCCCACAGCCGAGCTATCTCCCCGGGACTTCAGTTGCCGTCTGTGGGTACCTGGCCAGCCCTTTCACACCTCCGCCCCTCCTACCAGTCTCTGTGCGGTCTCCACCTTCGGTCTGTAGGTATCAGGGTTCTCTCCTGTGAGTTTTCCGTTGATTATTCACAAAGCCTTTCTGTATTTCAGTTGTAATTCCAGCTCATTCCTGGGAGCATGTCCATGCAGCATCCTCCTACTCTGCCGCCATTTTTAATCTTCCAGAAAAATTGACATCTTTCTAATTGGAAGCTTTTCCTAACCAGAATTATTTTTTTATATATATATATTTTTTTTATTGATTTTTCACAGAGAGGAAGGGAGAGAGATAGAGTTAGAAACATCGATGAGAGAGAAACATCGATCAGCTGCCTCCTGCACATCCACCACCAGGGATGTGCCCGCAACCCAGGTACATGCCCTTGACCGGAATCAAACCCGGGACCTCTCAGTCCGCAGGCTGGCGCTCTATCCACTGAGCCAAACCGGTTTCGGCATCCTAACCAGAATTATGTCTCTCTCTCTCTCTTTACCTTTTATATGTCCCTTGGAAATGCAAACCCTATTGCTTGATGCACATATATTTTATTGCTATTTTGAATGGGATTTTTTTTTTCATTATTTTTTAACTGGTCAGTGCTGGTATGTAAGACAGTGATTGGGTTTATGAATTTAGTTTGGAAGTGCTTCTCCTTGGAACTGTTAAAGCTGTACTCTCTTTTCAGCTTTCATTACTCTTTGGTTGATGCCCCGTTGTTCTGATTCCTCCTGGCTCAGTTCTTGCTTTGGGTTCTGCTTGGGCCTGTCTTTCTCTCAGGGCATTTCTGGGATGACACCCTGCCTACCCGCCCTCAGGCTCTTGGCTCTTATCTTAGGCCCTGGGTCCCTGGGACTGGGAGGGGGCCCTCTCCTGGCCCTCCCCGGGCTCTGCACAGGACCTCTATCTAGACCAGTGATGGCGAACCTTTTGAGCTCGGCGTGTCAGCATTTTGAAAAACCCTAACTTAACTCTGGTGCCGTGTCGCATATAGAAATTTTTTGATATTTGCAACCATAGTAAAACAAAGACTTATGTTTTTGATATTTATTTTATATATTTAAATGCCATTTAACAGAAAAATCAACCAAAAAAAGGTGACACGCGTGTCATAGGTTCGCCATCGCTGATCTAGACACTTGGAGAGCTCTGGATGCAGCTTCTAGTTCACCTTTTCTTTTCTTTTTACTTTTTTTAAAAATATATTTTATTGATTTTTTGTAGAGGGGAAGGGAGAGGGATAGAGAGTTAGAAACATCGATGAGAGAGAAACATTGATCAGCTGCCTCCTGCACACCCCCTACTGGGAATGTTCCCTCAGCCAAGGTACATGCCCTTGACCAGAATCGAACCCGGGATCGTTCAGTCCGCAGGCCGACGCTCCATCCACTGAGCCACACCGGTCAGGGCCAGTTCACCTTTTCTTACCACGCTTCATGGTCGGTTAGGTCTTGGCATGGAGTTGTGCCCATGGATATTTGTTGAAATAGACTAAGTGAACGACGTGTGTTTGTCTCCTCCTGTCTAGATCTTCCAACTCACTTATTGGGAATGCTTTTGTACTGGGGAGAGTTCTTCACTTCGTTTCCAACTCCTCCTCTGTTGATTTTTTTCTCCTCGGTGCGTGTACATTTTTGAGACCTTCACCTGGCCTGTTGCATAGGGACTCGCACCAACCTGTCCGTTCCACATCACGGCTGTGTGACAGTCACCTTCTGCGGGCCCCGTGCCACTGGCCACTTCCTTGCTCGCCTGCAGTCTTCTCTAAGCTGCCGTGTCTGCTGCCCGTGAGGCTCCTGCTGACCTGCTGCCTCCTTGCTCCCCTCAGATTCAGGCTTCTTCCGGGGAAACCAAGTACACCGGTGCCCTGGACTGTGCGAAGAAGGTGTACCAGGAGTCCGGGATCCGAGGCATCTACAAGGGGACTGTGCTCACCCTCATGCGAGGTAAGCCTCGAGGCCGCGCCCCTGAGGGCACTGGAGGGCCCACCTGAGGAGCACCCACACCAGCCTTGGCAGCACAGCACGCGCTCCGGCAGGCTGGGACTGTGTCCTGGTCTGGGCCGTCTCGCCTCCGGCCACCGGGGACACACACAGGCAGAGGGGCCTTCCACCCTTCTGGGGGCTGCCCCTCGGGGGAGGAGTCATGACAGTGACGTTGGAGGGGAGTGGCACGTCGGCAGAAATTGTGGCTGGAGGGATGAGTGGGAAGAAAGAGTGACTTTGGAACAATTGGGCTCTCCCTGTTTTGTTTTTTAACACATTTAAAAAAAAATTATTATCGAACCTAGGACCCTGCAGTCCGCAGGCTGAAGCTCTATATCTACTGAGCCAAATCGGCTAGGGCTTTAATATATTTTTATTGATTTCAGAGAGGAAGGAGGGAAGAGAAAGGTCAATGATGAGAGAATCATTGATTGGCTGCCTCCTGCATGCTCCCTACTGGGGATCGAGCCCGCTTCCTGGGCATGTGCCCTTGAACCTGGGACCCTTCAGTTCGCAGGCCGATGCTCTGTCCACTGAGCCGAACAGGCTAGGGCTCTCCCTGGTTTGGAGAGACAGTCGGAGAGGCAGAGACGGCCCCACCCTTGTCCTGAGCTGGTAGCTGGGAGGAAGGCCAGATGCGAGGTGCCGTTCTAACTGCTTGGGTGGGCATGTCAGTGGGACCACGCAGAGGGACTTGGAACGTGAGGTGACGTCATGTGTGTTTACACTCACTCCCCTGCGCTTGCCCCAGAGCAGCATCTGGTCCCTATTGCGATCACGGCAGGAGGGTGCTTCTGAGGGACTTCCAGGAGCCCGCAGGATGGGCGCGCTCCGCTCTGCTAAGTTCAGGAAACCGGGGGGACTTACACCGTTTACCTCACATCCCTCTCGCCACGAACAGATGTTCCAGCCAGCGGGATGTATTTC